CAGGACTAACCCGACCACGCGACATCGCCTGTCCGGCAAAACTTTTTTCGTGTGATTGTTCGGCAAAAATTACCGCACTTCGCTGATTTTCCGATTATCCCATCGCGGTCGGCGAAACTTTTTTTGAATTATGTAAGATTTGCCCATTATCCCATCGCTCGGCGAATCTTTTTGAATCTGTTGGCCAGTTGGCCCGGATCCGATGTGATAATCGCGGCTGCATATGCGTGGTAGGTGGTAGGTGATATTGTTCATGTATGTGACTGACATGTGAGATTGTCGATGGGTTGTTCACCGGTACGATATGCCGGTGAACAATCTGTCGATAGCCATCATGTCACGCGAAGGGATTGGGCAGTCGGCAATCGATACTTATCTTTTCATTAGAAGGGAAGTGGCAAATGCATATCGATAACAATTGTGCTGAACGATAGGCGGACTACCACGTACACCGCAGGCTGTTGCTCAACCAATAGGCTGTCCTTAAAAGTTATCGATAAAAATTGCGCGCTACGATAGGCTTTGGCAGAAACCTATCGCATTCCTTCGAGGCCGTAAACAGGTGCTGGAAATTCCTGCCGCAGCCGGTCAGGATGCACCAATATGCACCCCGTGGGTGTATCAAACCCTATCAAATTGGACCGATAAGACAACACGGCGATAGGAACTTATCCTTATCTAGATAGTTTTTGACTTATCGTCCAAGGTGTGATTTTTTTTGGTTGCATCACTATAAACACACCACACAGGACAAGTTTTCGCGACAATTACGTTACTGAGCACAATACCGATCAACCAGCTCAACAGCACTGCAAGCTGATTAGCTTGAACTTGCGGTCACCTCGCACTTCTTTCTCTCTGTCTTCATCGCCCTTGAAGTCGAAAAGGCGGGAGGAAGAGGACGAACGTTCCTCTTCGGCCGACAGAATACGAAATGATACTCTAACATTTCCCCCTCCACCCGCATCAGGGATAGGAATGGTCTCAAAAGAGGAAACCGAGGCGTGTGAATCCCACAGCCCATCGACAATCACGGTTGACGTGCTGCTAATTCCCTCGTCCTGTAAATCTTCCGCTGTTGGCCCGGCCTCAATCTCAACCATGACCGAACCCATTCCCACGTAGCTCACAAGGTACTCCATGTCTAGAAGCCCCGCGCCACCGTCACAAACAAGTTCGAACGTCGCCACCGCCGGATCGGTGGCACCTTTCCTGAACCCTGTCAGTCCAGCTTCCCCGGAGAGTTTCAACACCGACCATCCTGTAACTGACACCAGCTCTTCCGGGGTTGGGGCGTCCAAGTAATTGCCTAGCTCAAGAATGGATGAACGAGGATTCGCGAGGCAGCCCATCCCACCCTTAAATCGCTGGAGTTCCCTCTCGCTGGGGCTGGGGTTCGGTGACGGGCCATACACCTGTTTCCGTTAGTCGGTCGATGATACAAGCGGGGCAGCACAATGATTTGGATTTGGCACCAAAGCTCACCACGGCGCTGGAGCGATGTGAGCACTGCCAATCGAATCCTAAGCTATGGCACAGAGAGCGTGCCCCAAATGGCTTGGTAGGATGTCACGCAACACGGACCTAGATCGTAGGTCAAAAACATGTAGTGCGCACATGTCTATATTGGTGTAACCCTCACCTCCAAGAACCGAGCGTACGATAGCTGAAGGTAGTACGCCACGACATCGGCCATGAGCTGGTGCACTTGCCAATCAGGATGGACCGAGTGTCCCCAGATGTCTTCTGCAGCGGCGTAATCTTCCTTGTGCGGCCAAACCGCATCCCGAAAGGACACCTTCGTGTGACCAAGAGTTGAGTGCAAGAGACAGTCGTACGAAGAGAGACGAGATCGTGAAGTACTCTTGCTGAGGTTCCTTCCCCGTTGCCTCGCAAATCGCCGCCCTCGTACTGTGACGGGCCAAGAACTTCACGAGCTGCCATGTCCCCGCCATGGGAATGTAGCAGAGATAACTCAATCTGCTGCGGACGCTGCAATGGTTCTTCAAGCGGTTTCCGGAACCTTGTCCTCAACGCCAAACTTTCGTGGCGGAAATTTCTTGCCGTCCTCGGCCATGATCTCACCTTATGGCCCTTGGGCGGCCTTCGAGTGTCGCCTTATTGTTGAATCAATCTACTTTGAAGTATGTGCCATCGTCCTTGCTGCAATCGACATCGAACCAGGATTCCGAGTATATTGTACTGCGAGTCGCGAGGGTAATACGAGCGTCATTTACCGCTTCAGAACTTGGAATGTTCAGAAACCCTCCCACCACATTTCGAAACCAAGTGCTTGCAGAAACCACACAACTGCAACAACTAGCTCACCATGGGAATGTCGTGCTTCTGTGTTACGCTGGCGTGCACCTCCGCCATGTTTTCGCTTTGCCACGGGGCTTCAAGGCTTCGGAATGGTGCGATGAAACTCTCCGCGTAGAGGAGCGCTGGCGAGTGGAACATTGTGTCTCTGACGTAGCGGATGAGTAGTTCGTGCGCCATCCTCAAGTACTCCAGGTTGTACTCAAATTCTTCGATGACCGCGTCATTAACTCCAAAGTCGACGATAATGAGGTCGACCTGGATCCGCCGTGCAACAATAGGAGGGTTACGGTGGTGTGCAAGTAGGGCATACACGTGCCCATCATAGCTAGAAACTAATGAACCATCATTGATTTTTTACCACATCAGTCCTTACACAATTTGCAAGTTGTCACAGTAGCATTTTGTCGCGTCTTTGCTACAGCAACATGAATGCATCATCGCTCGTGGTATACAGTATGATGCATCCCATTTTTGCCATCTCGAGCATATCAACCCCTCTTCGAGGCCAAGACAAACAGCACTCAAGTTGAATACCCCACCGGATTCCCCCTTTCTCACCTCCAAGTCCACTGGTAGGGCCTTGTCCAGAAGTTTATGGAGAAATTGCATTACTCCATATTTGGGAACACTCGCGTTTGTGACCTATCAGTATGTCGGTGTTTGAAAAGGGTGTTGCGTGAAGAGAGGGGTGGAGGCGGTAGGATGGATTCGCATTCGTAAAAAACATTCTTTCGACTTCCGAATGCGCTCGAAAAACGGTCAACTGACTTCAACTTAGCAGGGAGCATCAGTACTGTAGCCTACGTCGGGATAATGGACAATAATATTCCTTACCCTAGCCCATGAATCTGTACCTGTCAATCAGTATGGTACAATACGCTCATGAGAGTGTGTCCTGGAATGTGATCTCGGCAAGATTTTTCGTTCGTCTGCGCCTGCAAATCCCAATTGACGACCACGCTCACATGTAGGTACTCAGTACCTCGATATCTAGGTCTTCGTATTCTTCCTGAAACCACTGCTCCACGCGATGGGGCCATGCACAATCGTTCCCCTTGAGTCCTGTCGGTGATGAGCAANGACAATAATATTCCTTACCCTAGCCCATGAATCTGTACCTGTCAATCAGTATGGTACAATACGCTCATGAGAGTGTGTCCTGGAATGTGATCTCGGCAAGATTTTTCGTTCGTCTGCGCCTGCAAATCCCAATTGACGACCACGCTCACATGTAGGTACTCAGTACCTCGATATCTAGGTCTTCGTATTCTTCCTGAAACCACTGCTCCACGCGATGGGGCCATGCACAATCGTTCCCCTTGAGTCCTGTCGGTGATGAGCAATCGTGTCCGTATGTGACACTCCCCCCTAGAACAACGACCTTCAGCACCCCCCTACCCCTCGCCCTGCGAAAGGCGCGGTGCAAAGAGAGGTCGGACGTACTATACCGAATCGCCCGCGGGAACATCTCCGGCGTCAGGGGGTACGGGTCCAGGGTCAGCGTCTCGTCGTGGAAGCAATCGCGCTCGAATACGCCGTGGGTTTCCCAGCACTGATATCCAACGCTAGAAGACAAGTCCAAAGTAGGGGCCGCCTCTGCCGCGTCTGCCGTTGGCGAAGCCGTCAGCAAAACGCCAGCAAGCGCGAGGAAGATCGCATCCATGGCCCAAGCTCGTCTTCTCCCTTTCCAGCGTCGGGCGTAGCTTCCGTCTGTGTTGACTGGGCGTCGCACGTTTGAGCGAATCTGTATCATAAAGGGAGGATCGGAGCCCGCGGTAAATCTAGACGCGGGCGAAGCGGACCAACTCTGCTCCCAACTTGTAGGCAAAAAATGAGCTAAATTGGCGGCAATGGCTACATAAAGCATCGCATCTCTAGTGTACATGTTGAACCTTTAATACAATTTCTGCTGTTAACCCTCCGAAGAAGACGCTACATTGGGTATTCAAACCGCGGCCATGGGGTTTACAAACAGCGCGGGAGGGAAGGGGTTCCGAGCAGTGCCACCTCGAGGGACGGCCGACTGAGGCGACCAGGGAAGGTATACTCGGAGGGGCTTTGGGGACAGGACGTGACCAAGTGGGGCGGGGATTGTTGAGCACCGGGGGGATTTTCGTTGCCGACGCCGTCGGGCATGCGGTGGGGGCAACATAGCAACTACCATAGAGGAGAAGGCGTGGAAACGACTCGCCCTGTACGCACCTCTCCTGTACACAAGGTGTGGTAACGTCTGGTGTCTTACGTTGCTTGCGGTAAACGATGTATGGCCTTCATGGGTCGGAGGTATCGTCTGTGGCCTTAGTAACAAGCTTCCCGACACCTAACATCCTCAGAAATAGCCCCAATTCCAAACGGCTGAAACAGATGTAGCAAAGAATCTGGTGTGCCCTGGCGGTTTCGTTCTCCGAACCCAACCGCCTCGTGACGTCTTGGTTATTCTCGGATCACACATGTAGCACGGGAACCATCGCATGGTAGTTGTCATTCGGAAACCAGTCATCACGGCATTGAACGGTGTGTTTCTCATGGTACCTGGCCACCATGGTACTTGCTGTACTGGAACCAGCACGGTGCACGGGAGAATACAGAAAACTTTCGGTGGGTTTGTTTGTTATTTCACCGGTGATACCCTACAACCTATGCCTAGACATCCGAACAGCCCCGTACCGTCTATACTCCTGACTGCCGTTTGTGAATGCAGGCTTCACGACAGAACCAGGCAGAATCTCGCAGACAAGCTCCGACAATGGCGAACACCTGGCGAACACCAGAGCTACGCCGACCACAAAATAAACTCTTACCAACAACCAAACACCGCGGAAGACACCTCCCCCACTCTCCTGGAGGAACCCATGTTTTATGGAACACTGCCTATATCAAAGCTGTTTTTACGATTAACGCAGTGCGAGTTCCTTCAGCAAATATTTGTACACGCAAGGGCTTTCGCGAAAGATAACCCAAGACACATGCAGAGATAGATATTCAAATCGAAATGCGCGTCGGAGAGGGGGGAGGCACAAGCTGAGGCGGTTCTCGTGGAGACTTGCTGCTTCTCTGCGTGAATGTCATCCGGACCTCGACACCACCGACAGACGACGGACTCCCCGCGATCCCCACACCCTCGTAATCGGACGCTTCCCATACACCCGACGAGCCTTGCGATGTGTTAGCAACGGCAACGGCAAGCTCGCAAGGCGGCTGTCAACAAATTTTTTGAAACCTGGTCAATGGCCTATGGAGTCCTCAACTCTGGGAAAACGTAGGTGGTGACTATCACCTGCCACCGGAGTTTAGCGTTTGCTTCTGATGGATTACGGGAAGTCCAAGTGGGGCCGAGCGGCGCAGTCAAGCTAGGGTGGAGTGGAGAGTTTGGCGAGCCTACGTACACCCTTTTGTCAATTCAACTATTCCCTGAAACAAGACTGTATCCGCCTGCATGAGAATACCATATCCTGACCTCCATATAGCCACCGATTTTTCTAGGCCGAAAGCTCAGTTTGTTGGACTTGAGGGTTTGGCGTTCGTTCATGTTTGAATGGTGAAATGGGACAATGAACGGGGCTTTTGGTGGGTTCGAGCTCTTGTTATCATTCTTAATGGTCTGCTGTGCCCGCAAGGCCGCTCTCGTGTGCTACAGTACATGTGGGTGAATGTGGCCGGCACCCGTGACTAGCGAGTATACAACGGGTAAGGGCAAGAATGCTTTGCAATCATGAACAAACAGCGTTTGCTCGCGCTGACGTGCACATCCACAACTGAAGAGAAGAGAATTGCACAGGTACAGTAGTCTTCATGGCGGCAACCGACCTACTACCCATATATATCTGGAGTACAAATCGTTGCTACACCTTGCGGCGCTTGTCGACCTGAATGTTTTCTTGTGGTGAATTATAAGCGCGGCCATAGCAAACGTCAACTTTGAATCAAAGCCATGAGTAGGTGCTCAAGCTTGGGTTGATGTGTTTATCGTGCCTATAAAGCAGTCGTGCCCCGCATAAGGAAACCAATAATAAGGAAAGGGCCTCCTCGGTTGAGGACAACATCAGGAGGGCTACTAGACACTTCCCGGGCTTCAGGACACATGCTTTTTGTAGAAAAAAAACAGGTGTGTCCGTAACCGAGGTCCGACCGTACATATATGTGCCTACGTACATATGAGTTGGTGTCATGTATGGACTCTACTGCATTCTGTTTTTCGCTTGCGGCAACAGAAAAACATCCCAAGTGTCTCAACGCTCAACGAACGGCTCAAAATATTGTTCGTGTTCCTGGTCATTTTACCTAAATTCACGGAGGAGTTATTTTTTTCTTGGTAATACTAGTCTAACGTGTAAAGATTTGTTCGTGCATACTGCTGTAGATGACACAAGGTTTCACACCCACCCGCAAGAAGACCGATTTTCAGAGCCGGCATCAATTGGAGCATCAATTGGAGCGAACTGAAGAGCCGTTCTCAATGGCTCCAACGCGACATTTTCTGGAATATTTTTGCCATCTTTTTTGTCTGCTGACATTGTTTCTAGATGTGGAGCTTCCTGTTGGTTCAGGCTAAGCAAAGCAGGCGTGCCCGCTACGTACTGCTGCCTGGACCTGAATTGCAGCAGTTTTGTCGTCGCACCGCTGACGTGTAAGAGGACGCATTCAACGAAAGTGTCTACGAAAGCAAGGTTCTCGTACAACAGTGTGATTTTGGAGCTGCTACTGTGGCACGGCATTCCTTAAAACGGGGTAATTGCTCTGATACAAGGGCTGTACTACCATAACACGCAGTTGCGAAGGTGTACCGATTCAGGTAAAAGTCAATCGACGGATACCCTGCGAATCGGGTCCTTTTGTGAGCCTTTTGTAGTCCACATAATACAATTTTGCACATACAAGTATGTGTTGGCAGGAAATAATTGTTCTATAACTCAAAGCGGAGAAAAGTCTGACCTGCCTCCGGGTGCAATTATCATACTTCTCGTTACGAGGCAACGGGTAAATACGACAGAGTAGAACGCATTAACATAGCAACTACCGAGATTGTGTATCATCCCATTCACAAGTGAGGCTTGACCTTTGGCAGCGAGAAAACTCAATGGGACATCCCCCTTTGCTAGCCGTGGGGTGGGACCACAATAAACTAAATAACTGTACGCGAACACGCGGTTGGGTGCGATATGATATCTATTCTGTGCTTGATCGGCTGGCCTACTCGTTTATGCCAGAGGAGAGACAGAGTGGGCTGGTCCTGCACTAAAGTACTTGCTGCAGGTACGTACTCTTATGAATATGTCCATCACGAGACATGGCACATATACAGTACGTAAATAGCCCCACTGCTCGCTACATCTCGGAAACTTGTACAGCAGTAGTAGACAGATTTTCGTCACTGCTCTTACGCTTTTGTCCATCACGAGACATGGAGCATATACAGCAGTAGAGTACGTACATGGCCCCACTGCTCGCTACATCTCGGCAACTTGTACGTAGACTGAGATTTTAGTCACTGCCGTCAAAGGTCGATACAGTAATCTATACAGAAGTTGTGCTTTCCCTCGTCTGACCTGCCGTCCGATGATGCGTTGTTGGTGCATTGTTTAGACGGTGGAGGCCGCCTGCATTTGCAAGCACTCTGGTGCAGCAGGTGAAGCACCGCCTACTATGCTGGATCTTTACCCGGCCACCAAACCCACTATCAACCCGGACATCTCGTATCTCTTGCTGCTGCACACACGTACCATGTTCACCCTTCGTCTCCGCAAGCTGCAGCAGTTCGGCCAGTTGCTTCGAAGGGCGGAACCACCGAGGGAAATGTCCAGCATCAGCGTGGGTACGGAGGTGGTGAGGGAGGGTCTTGACCGGAGTTGTGCGCCCCAAGTTGCCGTTCCCACCCCAAAATGTTGCCACGTGCCGATCTACGATTTCCAAGTCGGAAGAAATCTAGGCTTCTCGCTTCTCCTCGGTCGGCCGTTTTTTTTCCTTTTTCGGCCGCTTTATCTCCTTTTTCGGCCGCTCTTTTTCCTTTTTCGGCCGCCCCAAAATTTTTGTCGGCCACCCCAAATATTTTCGGCCACCCAACTGTCTGTACGCTTCTAACATATATATGTATACCTCTCGTGTATCCTATGCTTGGTGCGCAAGATGGATCGGGGCTCGTTCGTTTTATCTGTGTTCTTGGCAAAGAAGATAACTCTGTGTCTAGTCTCAATACTGCCGCGTCGTGTAATATGTGTTGTCTCGTCTATTCTCCGTCGCTCGTGTCCACGTCTACCACCCCCGCCTCCGCGCTAGCCCCTCCACCGCCAGGCCCCTACTCCTCCTCCTCTTCCTCCTCCTCCTCTTCCTCCTCCTCGTCCTCCTCCTCCTCTTCCTCCCCCTCTGCTTCCCCCTCCTTCTCCTCTGCTACTTCCTCCTTGTCATACCGCAGCTTCAGAGAACGCCTATCCCTTCCTCGGTTGTACTTGATGAGGGCGGCAGTCATGATCCTGTCTGCCAGGCACCTGTTTTGACTTGAATCTAGGAAAGAGCGTACTGTCGAAAACACGCGCTCCATGAAAGCCGACGAGGGTTGTTGTTGTTGTTGTTGTTGTTGTTGTTGTTGTTGTC